ACCAGAAAAGTATCATGCCACGCTCCCCTCCGGAGTTGTCTGGACCAGGATATGCCTTGAACTCATTCCGGGACCCAACCCTCTGGGAACTTTGTCCCCTTGCTCTTGGGTTCTGGCTGCTTGGGGGAGTTGGGCTTGGCTCCACGCTTGAGAAAACGCAGATCTCGTCCGTATTTGTGCTGTCAGCCCCAGAACAGCTGCACAAACACTGTGGTGGGGTTGCTCCCGGTGAAGCCAAAGGGCTTGGAAATAACATGGAGCAGGTAGGCAGGTTTCTTAGAATCACATCCTAATTAATCATGTCGCTAGCTAAGGCCATCACCACTTAGCTTACACCATCCAGAAAGGAGATCTGACTGTGGACACCAGCCTCTGCGCTGTGTTATGAACCTTATTTCTCAACCACCTGTGGTCCATGAGTTGTGTTGGCTCTTGGAGAGCTTCTTGTTGCGTTAAGCTTTCACCCATGGGGGTTGTCAACGGGCTTTCGGCCACCCGTGCCCCATCAAGGCCATGGCAAGAGCTTGTACGCTCCATGTGGAGCGTCGGAGGGTGTTCACGCAGTTCTGCCACCCATCTGTGTTTTAAAGGAAGCCAACAACCCCGGTCTGTAGGAGCTTTTTGGCTTGAAAGGGGATGAGAAGAGCATGTTTTAGCTCTTCCAGGTCCCAGGCATGGAGTAGTTCAGCCGAGGGAAAGGCTGGAGAAGAAAATCAAACCAAGAAAAATACAGGCAAGGAGGGGAGAGAAGAGGAAGTGCCGAAACTCTTTTCTGCAAAGTCCTACTTGCAAGCTTGGGAGAAATGGGCTCCAGGATCAGGTGAACGTTTCTCAGCCCTTGTCTTATTTCAGTCTCTTCTCTGCTGCATGAAAAACTGCACCTGGTGGAATAAATCGGTGTGATTAAACGTGATGCTGAACGGGGAGGGGGATAGAGAAGGGAGGAGGGAGGGTTTGCTTTTCGGCAGCACCTCCAAATGGGACGAGGCACATCCTTCTCCCCCTGTTGTTGGTGCTATTTGTGGAGGAAAACCCGATTTAGCTGGTCTCAAAAGGGGCCTTGTGAAGCAGAGAAGGGCTGTAGGCTTGTTTGTAGGGCTACAAAATCTGCCTCTTTCGGTCTTTCCTGCAGAGTTGAGCCTGGGTAGACTTCAAATTTGGGAGCTGGGAGGGGGTTTCTGTGCACAAAGGGAGATTAAAGGGCCTGAGAACCTGAAGACTCACCCATGTAATGAATGACTCCATGTCCTGGAAGGTCTCTCCAGGCTCGTGTTTGCCCAGGTGTGAGGAGAAGCATTGTTCCCCCCCAAACAATATCCTCCGGTGGCTCTGAGGTCGTTCAGGTCCTGGGTCCACCAAAGCACAGGAGAGAAATAAAGGCAGTGGGGACGCGTGGGCAGCGGATGCTCGGACCTCGGAGGGGGAAGCAGAGTCTGGTAAGAGACGCTCTTTTGGGGCTTTGCTTCAGGACTTCTTTGCTTTGGGACTTTTCTGCGTCTTCCTTCTGCATTCCGTGTCCGCTGGCACCGTCCCAACGCGCCCTCTCAAATCTCCCAGGGAAGAGCTGCCACTTATTTGAATAATCCTGATTTGGTGCTCATAAAATTGGGCATTTTGCTAGGTCAGCCTCAAATTTACATTTTCCGTGAGAAAAATAGTGGAAATGGCACTTTTTAAGCAGCCCGGCTAGCTCAGTCGGTAGAGCATGAGACTCTTAATCTCAGGGTCGTGGGTTCGAGCCCCACGTTGGGCGGTAGTGTCTTTTTTTTCCCTTTCTTTGCCCAAACCTGCCTGCTTCTGGGTGCAGTGTCTAAGCAAGAGGTGGAAGCATCTTAGGAAGTGAAGAAATGTGGGGTTTTGTTTTGTTTTGTTTTGTTTTCCTCGGAAGAACATTTTATTCACTTGGGAGTTTTCTGCCTTGAAAGCATGGCTATTAAAACTAATAGAGCAGAAAGGTGGAATTGCCTGTATTTCAGCTTTTTAAGATGCTGGAGGATTGTCTAATAGTGTGCTTCAAGTTTCTCACCTCGTTTTGCCCCAAAAGGGACATCACAAATATCTGTACTGAGGGGGTTTTTTTTTTGCCCCATTGGTTTTCCCCCTGGTAGAAGGCTGATCACTGAGGAAACTCGTTACAGGGATTAATAAACTGTCTGAGCTGTTCTCATTCATAGGTAACCCTGTGCTGGGCTGAGGTGCAGCTGGGAGGTCAGGTTCCCCAAGATGAAGGTGCTCTTGGTGGGGCTGACCCTTGTCTTGTGCATCGGAGTCGGTAAGTGGAGGGTCACAGTTAAATAGGATTTAATAAAGGGCAGGGGAATGTCTGGTGGTGGTTGGATGGGTCTTGCCAAGCTCTTGATGTCTGTAGTGTTGTCACAGTGTGACCTGGATGTCATCTGCTCTGAGCCTACAGGCAGTGGAGAGAAAGCGTTTTCATCATTGCTTGGATGAAAATGACTTTTCCACTCACTTCCCAGGAGAACTATTAGATCCAAAGAGACTTCCTCTGGGCCAGGAGCTTCAGCTGTAGGTTGCTGGATCCTGGGCTAGATGTCCACCTGTTCCGCTCCGCAGAGCTGTTGTGATGGTCTTGATGTGGGTGAACCCCACTTCAGCTGGAGAACCCCACCCCAGAGCCCACATCCACATTTATTCTCCATGGGTCTGCAGTTTGATTTGCTCACCTAAAACCATGTTTGAAAAGCTCTACCAAGATGGGTCAAGTGTCCCTAGGCATCATTTGCCTCCCCCCTACACCTTCTTTGTTAGTGAAGGTGACACTTGGTCCTTTCCCTGGTGGGCTCTACATCTTCTCTGGGGTCGCTCCCGTCTTATCATAGTGGCGTTTGAAGTAAAACTCCTCATCGGAGCTCCAAGCTCATCACCTCTTCTCTTTCTGCTGCAGTGGAGACTCTTCAATGCAAAGTCTGCAAGTACAAGCTCCCCTTCGTGGGATGTTTCCGGGGAGCGAATGAAACGACTTGCGAGCGGAGGGAGAAGTGTGCCATCATCAAAACCTCCCTGGGTACGTGGTCTGTGCGTGGGGCGGTCAAAACCATGTGTTGCCTTTGGTTCACTGGGGGTTGCCCTTGGTCTTGGAGAAGCGAATTGATTTGCAGAATGAACGAGGGTGCGATGATGACCCTGATGTGGGAAAGGGCTACCACAAGGGGCCAGATTCCTTCTCTCGATGGAGGCTGCCCTGTGTGTGTTTAAAAAAATAGTCACTTTTAGGCAAAGGAGAGACTCTGTCTCCCCAAAAAATCCACATGAGTTTTGTCTGTGTGTGCACACGCCTCATTTAGCTCATTCTCTTAATTAAAACATGTGAAATGTGACTTCCCTGGGGTGCGCTGTTTCAGGGGGTGGTAACCTCAAAGTCCATCACTGATTTTTATTAGTTTAGTGCTGCTCTCCATCTAATGGTGGTCCCTCTGCATCTAATGGTGGTCCCTCTGCATCTAACGGTGGTCCCTCTCCATCTAACGGTGGTTCCTCTCCATCTAACCGTGGTCCCTCTCTGCCCACCACCTCCGCAGGGAAGGTGACCCTCTATTACCAGCAAGGCTGCACCTCCGTGATGAACTGCGGCCGACAACGGGCATCCGACGCGGAATCCCGCCTGACGTCCCAGTACTCCTGCTGCGAGACGGACCTCTGCAACGAGGAGTGGGATGAGGACCCCACAGACTAGCCTGCGGCAGGGGGTCAGGATCAGGGCTACTGACGTGGGTCCAGCCCTTTCAACGCTGTTGAGTCCCCAGATTGAATCTTGAATGATTAGGATGGTTGGACCCACTCTGTCTGCAGGGCGTCTGGCCCGATTCTGTTGCAGCTCTAGCAATAAATCCACAGGCTCATAACCGGCGGCTGATTTTGGCTCGTGTGCGTGTTTTCCTTCTCCAGACAGACGTTCCTATTAACAGCTCTTCAGACTCAGCATTCCCGGTGGTCTGGAAGCAGCTTGCGGCCCCGAACATAATCCTGCTACTAAAAACCCCAAGGGCAAGCCAAGGTGTTTTCCCCTGGTTGCATCCCAATATGTTTTGGGTTTTTTTCCTACAGCGCAGGGCTGGGAACTTCTTTGCTGGGAATTTTGCACCGAGGGTTGCATCAGGGAGCTGCTGGAAGCCAAGAGAAACAAAGGACATGCATATCTAATAGATATTAGCTATAGATATTAGGTATTTATTTCACCCAAAACTCCCTTACTAGTCAACAGAGGTTGAGTCATCCATCAAGTGTAGACAATAAATAGTCCTTCAGGAGTTACCAAACTCCTGCTGTTGACTTCAGATGGAACCTGAAGGAGCAACTCGATCAGTTCAGGACACCTGTGGCTGCTGCCTGCAACCATGATGAATTTTCCTTTGTTTTTTGGGTTTTTTTTTTTTGGTTTTGGGTTTTCTTTCCCCCCCCTCCCTCTTCCCTGCTCTTTTGGATGTCCCAAACTCTCCTTATCCTACACAAGCCACCCATGGTAGGTGGGCGATGTCCTGCAGGAGATGTTCGTGCCCTTCTTTGCATGGTGCTGCCCCAAATATGAACTGGGAGATAACTCACTCGTCGATGGCTTTGGAAGAGGGATGAGAAGCTTTCCTCCTTCCTGAGCCCCCAGGTCCTCCGGAAAGGAGGGATTGGGGCATTGGAGAGGGTTAAAGGGCTGCAGAGGCCCTGTGGAGAAGGTCTGGGCTTGGAGACAGGTGGAGGGAGGTGCTGGAAAGTCGATCCTGGCTCTGGGCAGGGAAAAGAGCTTTGGCACGGAGGAGGAGAGCAGAGGAGTGACTGGGGAGGAGGAGGAGGAGGGGAAGAGATCGGTGGGTGCCCAGGATAGATGCAATGGGGGAGGGGAAGGAATGGTAAGTGAGATGTGGGGGGTGACAGAGGGGACAAATGGGGGCAACCGAGGGCTGGGAAGGAGCAGGAGCTCGATCGGCGCCGAAATGTCGGAGGCATCCAGGGCCGGGGCTGGTTTCCTTCGTCTGAGCGCGGCAGAGCGACTGCCACGGGCTACTTCCCGCTGGGACCCCTCGGCCACCCGGCTCACCTCCCCCCTGTCCCCCTCTCACACCTTCCCGACGCAAAAAGTGGGGAGATTCGGGAGGATGACCCTTTCCTACACCTCTGCTCCGAGGTACGCCGGGTCGGCGGGGGGCACGGGGAGGGCGGTGGGATGCACTTGTCTGTCCGTCCTTCCCCCCCCCACCCCCATATCCACCTTGTTCTCCTCCTGCTTTTCCCACTGCTTCTGCCCGTTGCTTCTGTTGAGGTGTCTCACTCGGGTTTTTTTCTTTCTTTTTTTCTTTTTTTTTTTTTTTCTTTTTTTTTTTTTTTCTTTTTTTTTTTTTTTCTTTTTTTTTTTTTTTGCTATTTATGCGTCTCTGGATAGCATGTGGATTTTTCTCTCCAGCCCACAGTCCACCGCCTCTTCCTTTCCGCAGAGACGTGATGGAATAAACCTATGCGGGACATAGGAAAAAAAAAATATAGTTTGTGTTTATTTACAGATCAAGAGAAATGGAAAGTGGAAGAGAAAGTGATTTCCCTTCCATAGGGAGTGTGTGTGTGTGTATAAATATATATCATTGTATATGAGCAGGGGTAGGTAGATAAATATGCACAGAGGTGGAAAATGGTGGTCTGCAGAAAAATTGCTTTTCTGTGGGGAACTGTGTAACACATAAATGGATATTTATTGCATATAGAGGGATACATGCGTGTACATATATATATGCACCTATATATATGAATCTGTGTGTGAATATATACATATAAACATATATATATATATTCTGCTATTTGCCTGAGTCATTTGTTCCATGTTATTTCCCATCACAAACAGATGTGGGCCATAGCAAGCACTGGTACTCAGATTTTATTTTCCTGTGAGAAGATGAGGGATTCCTTTCCAAGCCCAGAACTGTATTTAAACTGACCCGAAAAAAAACCCTCATTTCTAGTCCCAAATGAGCAAGTCCGGATCATCAGTAAATGCACGTCTGAAGTCTGATGCTAGAAAATGCAAATGCCAGGGAAGTTTTAAGTTCAAGTGGGGGATGGATCCCTCTCCTCAGCGTTCTTCCCCAACTGCAAATGGAAAACCCTTTCCAAACCCCTGGCATCGGGACAACAAGACTAGTTTTGCTCATAAAACTCCTCCGGCACAACCTCTGGGGTTGTTGGGATTTGTCTCCCCGTAGCTCCAGGTGTCTCCAAGGGAAAGATCTCAACTTGGAGGTTTTGGATCACCTGGGCTGACTTTTAGACCCTCATTTATGGATAGGTTCACTTGATCTGCTTTCAAGACCTCATTAGGAGAAGAAGGCAGCTCGTTAGGAGGAGACCTCGTTAGGAAAAGAAGAATGTGGGTTCCAGAAGTGCCTACATTCCTCTGTTGATGGTAGTGTGACCCCTCCCAAGTCACTCACTTTTATCTCTGTTCTCCATAACAAGAGCTTTGGCGAGCTGCTCAGGTGGAGACAACCATGTTATAGACAAATCCCAGCTGAGGGAGGTCCTCCTATATTAATTATCATTCCCATTCAATGCAAGACCTCCAAAGCTGCGTGCAATATTCCTGGAAGACAAAAAAACAAAAAAACAAGTGGGTTTGAGATGTAGGACCCCAATCCAGAGCTTAATCTTTATGGATTTGGGAAACTTGCCCCCGGATCTTGATACGGACTTCACATCCGTGTGTATTCCCTTTCTCCTGTTGCTTTTTATGGCCCCTGTTGAGTCCTGGAGCTCAACCAAGTCATCTGAGTCCCCAGCTGAAGCTTCCAGGGCAAAATGGGTCTTTAACGAGAGCTCAGATGGTTACCTGGATCAGGGCCTAGAGCAGCTGTTAAACACAAGCCTGGCGACTCAGATCTTGCATTTAGCACCAGGTCAGCCAAAAAGCAAGGAGACCCAACACCCTGGTGGCCTTATCCCAAACGATTCCCCTTTTCTCACCTTCCCTCCTGCGAAAAGAATTAAAAAAAAAAGACAGCGAGCCCAGGATTTTTTGGGGGAGCGGAGGGAAGGAACCTATTCCTT